CGGTCACGTGACCGGCGCGCCGGCCTACCGCGCATGCGCGAGCGCGCGCGCGACGTTTTTAATCTTCTCTCTCCCTCTTTCTCTTTCTCTCCGACTGTATTGGTTCTCTTCCCTTCTCCTCTCTCCCTACGCTTTTGCTTTTTTAAAAGTAAAGAACATAAAATGTTAATTTAAACAATGGTCTTTTTTTTAGGCGAGTTTGTTTAAGTATAGGAAATCGATCTTTTCTTCTGCCTCTTTCCATTTTCGATCGTAACGTTATTAAAATTATATGTACGTTTAAATAATTTTTTCTTTTTTACAGTGGCGAGATATCAGTTTTGTACAGCAAAACTGTATCGATAAAATGTAATGTTTGCAGTTCTTTTTTTTTTTTTATCAAATACTTCTATGTGGAAATAAATAAAGTATAGATATGTACTGAGAGAAAAGTGTTCGGTATTTAATTAAGTTTTTAATTACATAGTAAAATAATTATGAGGAGTCCTTATTTTTATTATTGTTATATTAGTAATATTTATAAAATGACTGTAATTTATAATAATTTTTGGTGCCAATTGTATATTTTTTAGCACATAGAACTATATAAACATGCTTATTATTATTAACATTATACCAGTAATAACTGTAAAACAAGAGCTCCCATTCATAATTAGTTTATAGTTGCAATACATGCAATTAGTCAACAAATACTCTCTCTCTCTCTCTCTCTCTCTCTCTCTCTTCAAAAATTTTTCTCTCAGTGCAAAACACAATAATAAATCTTCAAATAATAAATATTTTGTTAGCCGATACTGGTCGATTTCAAAAGCGTTACTTCCACGAATTCTTATCTGAATTTTCGTTCCTCTTTTTGGCAATGAAACTCGAGTTTTATCTTCTTTTTCGGCAGGAAGGGATCGGTTACTTAAATGAAGGAAAGCGAATGCACACAACATTAACGCAACACCTTTTGCGACGTGTGTATATATTTACACGATTGTATACCAATCCTCACCGTATGAAATTAGCGGATCTCTCCCGTCCTTATACAGAAATCTCCTCTTCTTATACACAGAATCTTAATAATTTAAACCATCGATTACAAACGGCGAGCGGGACGGCCGTTGCATAATCAAAACGAGTGATTTACACAATGCGTCGTCTTCGTTCGCTTTGCAATTGTAAGAGAAACTCGCATTACAGCGCATTTCCTTTTGTTTCCTTTTTAACAAGTCTAGTTAATTAATTATTATACTTCGTAAATGCAAAATTCAGTTATCACGGCGAATACAAAATCATCTTACAATCGCAAGCTTCCCGTTCGATACGCCAATCTTAAAGTCTATTCTTACACTGATAGCCGTCTCCTTTAAACTTTATCGTTCTTACGACGAGTAAACCCACGAACCGGAGTATTCGCTGTTGTTCCATTTTAATAAATGTACACAATCCCACGCTCACGCAATACCTTTAATAGCTAAATATAATACCTGCAATCACGCAAATTTTATAAGTATAATATAATATTGTGTTAATATAAATATATATTATAAAATAAGTAAATAAAATAAGAGTCAATTAAATTGTGCATTCTGTCGTAAATAAAATAAGAGTCAACTGAACTGTACACTCTCTGTCGAAATCAATAGATATTGCACAAACATAACAAGGCTGAGTTTACAATGTATTGCTCGGTAAAAAAAAAAATAGTGATGTTATACTGTGCATGTCAATAGGAGAGTTTTTATATCATCAGTCGATCCGATATCCTCGAAAAATAAAATTGTACAAAATGTTCAACAATGAGTCTCTCCATTTTTGTGTTTCATCACGCTGGCTTCGATTTGAATCACGATTGCATGAGCGCAGGTTTAAAGCTCGCTTGCAACAAACGCCTAATCATGTAAGAAAATATCCAAAAATTACATCTCATGAATCGTTCGCCCTTTATCTTTGGTCTATCATCAAATTCTCTCTCGTCAATACCTCTCATATCTACCAGAAAAACATGTTTCGAAAGGTAAAGCAATAACAATATTACATCATTGGATCGAAGTTCGCTTTTCGTACAGAATACCGCAGTCCGTTTGTGTCCTCTTTCTTTTCTTCGTATTTGTAAACATACGCATGTATCCCGCACGCGTTGCGATTATGGCGAATTTTGCAGATAAAACTCACTCCGTAACATCCAAAAAAAAAAATTTCACTTATTTACACTTGATTAAACCTGAGTCAAACAAGATAAAACTGTTTAAGCAACTGGGCTAATCGTTAGAGCTATTTAAGATAGTAAAAATGTGATAAAAATGATAATATTGAATAATTGATGTGTATAAATTATAAATTTATCAAGTTTGCCCGCTTACAATTTAATTTTTTCATCAAACAGTTTCTCATTCATATGTCACGACGATAAAATTTTCCTAGAGATAAATAGAAGGAAAAATATGCATTATTCCAAAATTAAGAAAATACTCTCTTTGTTTTTTTCATTCTTTAACCTCTTGTTATTCATCCAGCTTTTTGTTATGGATATTCAGAGAACTTTTCAATCCTCGATTCCGCGTGAAATACGACGAGATTCTTGTCATAATCTCCTTCGGAACAAACCCAGGGGACTTCTCACCCGCAAGCGCCCGTGGGAATTGTACCTTTAGATCGTATTAAATCGATTAAACGGCATGTCGCGCCAATAGTCCGTACAAAAACTTTGAGAAAATACAATAGCTTTTAAAATAGATCGCGGTCTCCCCGGTTGATTCTTCTTCGTATCGGGGAAAACTTTTAGAAATTCACAAGTCGTTTTTTTGATTGCTCACGGAGACTTATTTCGCACGCGTGCTGGTTCGTTGACAAGGTATTGCCTAGCTTCGAGGATGTTCCCTTGTAAATAGTAACAGGAGTGGTGAACCTCTTCCGAAGAGTGCGAATATAAGTTCAATTGAATCAATAAACAGTACAGACTACGGCCTTTTAAAATTTTTATTGAAAAAATGCGTCCACGATAGTTCAAAATGCAATGATTCCAAAACTCATGTTCATACATATAGTTTTCTTACATACATGTACTTTTCTTATTTTAGATCTTCAATACATTTCTTTGTCATAGTTAAAATTAAAATATGTAACTAAAAAAAAATCTTTGTTAAAATATAGATTCATAAAAAATTATCTAAATTATATTTAATAATTCGTAAAAACAATTTAAAAAATAATAAATGATTCACACACACAATAACTTAATTTATAATTTCGTAAGATATTATGAATTTTTTTTTACGACTATAAATAGTACCTTTTCTTGCTTATTGATTCAATGTCTGAAGTAAACGTCCACCAGTGGAGTAATCTATAACAAATGTTACCTTCAACGTTATCTATGAAAATAATTTTAAATGTCCGCCACCCCCGATCTTAATGTAACGTTGATCAACGATTCTATCCACTAACAAGCGCACAATTATCTCAGCGGTATTAAGCTCATGAGGTATGGTGTATTTCACATCGGTAATGTGTGCCTGTATAAATATATATCGAAGACCGCAGAAACGAACATTATAAACAGGCTTCACCCTAAAATACTTAGCTCTCGTCATACGATGAAATTTATTTAAATATACATATATGTATGTCTAACAGTTATCTATTCGCAGGTTCGTTATTGTGTACCTTTATGTTGTACATTCTCATGTTGCTTCATGATACCATCAATCCCCGAAGAATACCAAGGTCGCAATGTTTTTCCAAAAAAGAAACTGCGACGCTTTTGAGTGACTTCTCTAAAACGTTCGTGTGTTAGCTAAAAATCAACAGATATTTAAACAGCGACGCGTTTAATTGGGCTGTTAATTGGTACTGGATGGGGATAAGGGCGGTTTAGGCATCACTCGACATTGTCGAATCTGAGGTATCGATCATGTCAGTCGACTTTTTATCCCTGCGAAATCTCACGGCATTTTCGATCGCCGATCAAATTGCATCTCGTTCCAACTGTCGAAAACTGTCATGCGTGATGTTTCGACAAATTCTTAGCACAATCTTTTAATCGTCTTTTTTGAAAGTAAAAATGCGTAATCGGCAACACTTAAGAGAGTTCGAAACCGGTATTGCTGGTGACAGCGTAACGCAGTTTCTCTCGCAACGTGCTCTTTTTCTGATAATTCGGCAACTTGAGCAAGTTGAAGCACGTTGACGAAGTGGGCAGTCGATTTTGTGGATCCTTCTTGCGAATCGTAAAGAAACCTCTAATAACGCTGCCTAAATTGCAAAAAAATTTCAAATTAAATTTACCAAAGAATTTGAAGGGTATTGAAAATCTTTCCAGTTTTTCGATTTTATGACTGATTATGAAAAGATTGACTCTCGTCTGTTTTCGAAACTATTTTATAACATACCAATAGTGTCGCCAGTGTCCTCGTCATCGCAAACTTCCACGCATCGTATGGAAAAAGGTGGCTCCAGGTGAGCGAAACCCAGCAGAGGTGACTTCGAGCAACTCGTCACAAACTATCACAAACGTTATTATTATTCTTCAAGAGGATTATTAATTATTAATATTCACATTAAAAAAATCTCAAGAAAATCTTTAGTACATTATTGATTAGAGAGAAATTATTAATTATCTTTGTGATCATTACCTTTAAGAACAAGCCTCTTTCTTCTTCCGTAAAATCCTTCTCTAAGATATCCCACAACCAGCACACTACTCGATGACTGTCGTGAAATCCTCCATAATATTGTGTATGCCTCCGTAAATCTCGCAGATCCAAAGGTACGTTATCACCCGAGATCAATCTCTGTAACTACAAAGCCAAGTGTTCCATGGTAACTTATATATACAAGTATATAAAAAATAATACAATATAATTATATTATTAATATGTATACAATATTACATAGAAAAATTAATCATAGCACTGTATTTGCTTTAATATTTTCATTTCATATTAAATTTTCATCAGAACATATAGCTTACAATTACATTCTAATTTAAAAAGTCATTGAAATAATTTATTAATTTAACTTTTAAGTTACACATTTATAAAAAAAAAATTATATATAATTATATTTAATTTATTATATTCAAATTAATAATTCCATACTGCTTAATTTTGATATCTCGGTCATAGATTGCACTACAAATAAATGTAAGTAAGTGTTCTTGAATTATCACCTCGGGCGTTGAGAACAACGACAGCCACTCGGGATTAATGATCGAGCGGAACCCCTTGATGAAGGCGGTCGTTTGCTCCTTGATCTGATGATACATTCTATAGTGCGCCATGTGGTGGATATATTGAATCTTGTTCTGATTGGTCACGGCGGTGGTGCGCCCACCAGTGATCAGCTCGTGCGTGACCAGCTTGCCGAGCACGTCCTCATCGAGAGAGAACGTCAACTCCAGCTCACGAATATCGCCTTTGTAATGCTTTACTAAAGTCAGGCTACGGTAGAGATCGCGATCTAGTGAAGCAAGCTCGTCCAACCAGCTGTACAACGCACCGCCTGTTTGCCCGGAAAATTGCGAGACAAAGAATGACGCAAAAGGCACGTCTACGACGATACCCTGGAAAGCAATAAGAGATCGATCGTTGTAAAAGAATTGACTTTATTTGAAAATACTGACTATATCTAATTTTTTCTCGCAATAATCTAGATATATCTAGGTAAAACCACATAAAACAATAAATAATATTCACAAACAATGAATAATTAAAATAATTATTGACACATGAGAGAGATTTTTTAATCATTTTCAAAATATTTATTTCGTACATTTTTATTTATAATTGAAGCTAAATTGCATTTACGAACTTTACTGATTATAGATAAGAGTTTACCTCATAAACCGCTTTACCAAGCATCCGTCCGACGAATTCGAATAGTTGCAAGTGATTGTCTTGCATGAAAGATGTGGGAGACGGATAGAGCCGGTTTTCGCTGGTAGCTTTAAATAAATTCAAAGATGGATCGAATACTCGTTTTATTGTCTCTTCCAAGAATTCCTTAAAAACTCCGTCTTGATCGATACCGGCTTCAGCTAAACCTTGTTCGTTTACAAAACGTACCCTAATCACACCTTTCAGAGCTTGTGATGGCAACATGGCCAATTGTCTGTATCCATCCTCAACTATCCGCGTTCTGTAAAATATAAAAGAGTATATTCTACAATAATTGAAAGAATCGTATTAAAATTATATCTACCTTATTGACAAAAAAGTTAAAAAAAGATATCCAGTCTCTGAAAAATGATATTAGATTACCACACAAAGAAAAGATTTGTTCCTTTTGTTAAACGTTTTTTTTTTTTCAGAAAATAGTATTAAATTTAAGAAAATATAATTAAAAATTTAATTAAAAAATTTTTTTAAACTCTTATATGTTTTAAAAAATAAATAAAAATTGTAATATAATAGACCTGTGCACAACAATGAGAGTAGTAGGTGGACTGTTGCAAGCGCTCTCGGTCAAACCCATCACTGCTTTCTCATCGGCTATGTGCTTGCGAAATAATACGACTCGCTCGGAATGGGGAATGACGTGAGGCATTTTTGAGAGTAAAAGTGCTGCGCCGCGTCGTCCCTTTTCCAAATCAGCCAAGAAGCCAGACACTCGTACTTCCTGTTAAAAAAAAAAAATTGTAAATGACTATATGTCGCAAATATTGAAACTGATATATGATACAATCTCTTTATTTTAATTACACGAGGAAAATCAGAAAGTAAAGTGAATTTATTTATTCTTGTATATCTATAATTTATATCTGTAAATGCAAAAATCAATATTAAAAATATTACATTCATTTTTTTAAATATTACATTACTAGAGAGTGTTTATTAATTGATACAATAACGTTTTTTTAGACCTGTAACATAAAATTTTTGTAATATGAATCTAAGGTATTCATAAAATATAAATTAAAATATACTTAACTTGGCTAACCAGTGACCTTCCGGGCAGAACGTTCTACGGCAATCACGTCGATATATTGCCATTAAAAGAATGTAAAGTGAGATAAACAAAGGATTGTTGGATACCGACTTCACATCTATAAAATACAAAAAATTGCATGTATTTATCTTCGTATATTAATCTGATAAGTTTTTTTCTATTTTTCTTCTTGCAATCTTGATTAAGCAAAAAACAATAACAAAAAATGATAGAAATCGACTTACCAAATAAATTAGTGAGAACCGCTTTGTACAAAAATTGATTTAAAAAATATGACATAGTAATGAAGTCCGTGAGCTTGAAGGGATCTTGATGTTCGTACATTTCCATATCGTCTAAGATGCTGAAAATGGAAAATCAAAAGATTAGCGCACATATGAAACTAATCGAGACTAAATTTAATCAAATTGTTTGAAAACAAGTTAAAAAAAGTCATATCACTTACGTAACATAGTGCGTCATACAATCGGCGAACAGTATCAGCATTTGGAACTCAGGTGCTGTGCATTTAGTGTTAGCCGCCAAGAGATCTAGAAACGCTTTTAGACCACAGTGCGGTCCCAGGGTGGTCAAAAACAGCCACATGTGATAAAGAATTTTGCCTTGATAGCATAATCCTATTTTTATATGTACGTGTTATTAGTTGATATTTTTGTATATATGATCTTGTGTATATGATTATATATTGGTTTATTATACATACCCGTTAATATCTCTATCTTCATCTGTGTGAGCGTATGCAACGTAGTTTGATATAGAGAACAGATCAGAGCTATCTTGGTAGCTTCCGGACTGCCTAGCTTTCTGTAGTTCTTAGTGCTGTTGTTCCTATTAGTTCGAGCCTCAAGAAATGCCCGCCGGAAAATATTGGCGCCTATGGAAGAGGTACTTTGCTGCTCTACCGGAGGCGGTACCTCCTTTTCGACGAATTCGATTAGTGGCTGTTCTGAAAATAAAATAGAGAGTAACCAGGGGGCGAATTGATTTTTGTTGATTAGGCTATCACACCTTTGTATACGAATTGTAATTCTTTGTAAGGAGTATCAGAATTGGTAAAATTGATAATTCTTACCAACTAAATGCGTAACGATCCTGCCCGTCCAAAGACAGGCAAGTTGCAATTTTACCGAAGGAGTCGCGTCCTGCAAGGAGGTGTCGATTGTCTGTGCAAACCAGCCTAATACTGGATGCCAATGTGTCAAATTACTCCGTTTGGCGACTACGTATTGTTGACATGCTTCCAGCATTCTTGTCACAACGAACTGCAAAGGATTCATGAGACATTATGGATATGCTTGCAAGAGAAAAAAATTACTACAATAGCTTACCGTAAAAGAAGGAAAGCACAGCTCTCTCAATACTTCTTCCCTTTCGATGTTCGCCAATTGTATCAAATTAGCAAGCAAACAAAGCGCGTAACTGCCCTCCAGAGCATTAAAGACAATCCTTAAATTCTGCTCGGAATTTAGCAACTCCAAACTTCTCGCAAACAGATTATTCGTTATAAACGATGAAATGCACTATAAATAATATCAGAAACTTTACATATTTAGATTAGAGAAAAAAATATCATGATGTGTAACAAAGCTTGTAAACATTTTCTTTTTTTTTTACCTCTGGTGACAAGATATTCAGGTGATAGACCAGAGCTGGTACGCTAAAGATGTTAATTAGAAATAGAGATACCAGTTTGTCAGACATTTGCGAAGAGATCAGTGGTCTCAGTGTCAGAGTAACTGCTGCTGAAAGTGTAACTGGTTTCAAAGCGATTTTCGCTCTACCCAGTCCCTTCATTAAGAGAGCCTGAAATGGAGAACGTAGTTTAGAATTGTTAAAAAAAGAACCAAGACCGTTAGAAAACCTCTCGTTGCATAACAGTGTTACCTGCATAGTAGCATAAAATCCATTGTTAACTAGGTGGCCCATTATATTTGCGCACAGCTGACTCATGCCAGTCTTTAGCTGGTCCATACCCTTCACCTTCTGTATTGCCCACGTTCCAGGCGATGTAAAACTCACCAGAGTGTGCAGTCGCAGAAGTATGGATTTGTGGTCCGATACCCTCTCCGGCTTCAGGCTGTCCAAGCCAGAGAGACAGTGGTATAAAATTGTCTTCATTTGCGATATCCATGATATGTAGTGATCCTTATGGAACGCCACTCCAACGTAAGATATCTTTGGAGACTCGGAATCGAGAGTCAGGACAAGGTATCTAAAAGATCATCTTGATTGAATGATACTCTGAATCTTTGAAGGAATATCGATTGCGTGTACTCACCTACACACTCTTTCTATTCTTTCTTGATCCCTTTCTTTCTTATAAATTATCAAAAATCTAGAAATAGTTCTATACACCTCCAGAGCAGGTTTTAACTCCACTGTTGCATTGTCGACGTTGGGGTCATCAAGGAAATTATTATCAAACTCTTCTCTAAAAATAAAAACAGTCTTGTCAGATAACTGTAATCTTTATATAAAATTATATAAGCATTCTTTATATCAATATGCTTTTATGCTACAACCATAATTCAATTCTTGCAAGAGATAAAAATTTAATTCAAATGTGCTAATTGAAACAATAGTCCAAGGCAAATAAAAATATATTTTATACTAATATATTAAGTGAAATAGAAAACGAAATAAATTAATATATAAAATATCTCTCTTTCTCTTTTTCTCTCTGATACTTTTTAATGATTTGATTTATCTTCGTATTTGCTTGGAATTCTACGAATCTGACTATCAGCAGTATTTATGTACACCACAGAGATAATTGCATATTTTTATACAGTTATTCTACAATATTGATCAAGTTCAATATCAACAACACAGGCAAACTTTTGTTCACACTGTAGCACAAGCATCTTCACATAAACATCAGCTCGCACGTATTTGTATGACCATGTGTAATATTGACAGGTAACTCGCATCTCCATTTCGCGTGGAGAGGGCTTAGGCTTTGTCTCACACTTACAGTATCCGTTTGGTGAACCGAACACGAGCGAGCCAGGCTCGAACGTGAGCCTGAATCAGAGTAGCCGCGGCTTCTCTGCGCTTTTCATGCGCCCGATCCTCGCGTGCTGCCTTCTTCTGCTGCAGGAAGCTGCCCTTCGACGACGAGCCCTCCGCGCAGAACATCCTTGAGTTCTCGATCACCGATCACCCACGCTGGCCGCGGGGCCCGAACAACCCCTGGACGCCTACGCTTCTCCTCCACCTCCACCTCCTCCGCGTCGTCGTCGTCGTCGTCGCTCGCTACTAACCGCGAGGCATCTCCGAGGCATCCTCGTCAGCTGACGGGCATCTATCAGTATCCCCCACTACGTATCCGCTTCTCGTCCGTGCTGTATCGCTTGGCTACGTCGGGATACGCGGCGTATCAGATTAAACCGCGTCCGAACCCGCCTCCACGATGAATTCACTATCGTGGCTTGGGATAGAATTCCAGTGTACTCCAATCACTTCAATCACTCCAATGTCGCCTTTCTTGAGATACCCTGGTCAGCTGACGGGTATTTACAAACCCCCTCTTTCTCTTAGAAGCGAAAATCACCCGGCAATGACGGACTAGAAGATTCAGGGCTCCCGAAGCATATCAGATTGAAGATGAATTAAAGATGAAGTAATTTTCCTTAACATTTCGATGAATTTTTCCCCTCCATAATTTACGAAGTAGGTTCTAGAACCTCCTTTTGTATTCATACATAATTCGCTTATATAATTTTGATGGATCATCCTTATATAACTTTGATGGAAAAAAAATGAAGGGCAGTTATCGATGATTTATATAACATGAATAGTTTTTTTATTTTTACTTGTTTAACCCAAGGGAAAAAGATTGAATTACAAAATTAGAAATTTTACTTTAAGCAATTCTAGCGGTCAAAACGTCGATTAATTTAATCAGTGATTAACTTATGAAATACAATTTTATTAACATTGATAGAATTATTAATTTTTTGTTGGTTAACAAAATTTAAAGCATTTCTGTCAGTAATTTCTACCAATATAGATTAATTTGGAAATCTTTGTTTTTAATTTATTCTTTATTTTTTTCTAATTGGATAAGAAAAAGAAATGAAAACATTTGTTTCAATGCATAAAAATCTCTCAATTTATACTCATCTTTTTTACATTTTTATAACCAAAAATATAAAGACTAAATAAGTTAAGAAAATTAATTTAATTAGTAAAAATGGACATATAAATCAAACGGAATTTAGCTAAAGTCGGCCTAAAATCTTCCTTGGGAACTCGATCGCTCGAAGCTCACGAGCTCTTTCTCGAAGTCGTTTCGATATCGACCTATCGAGTCCGCTCATCTGCCGCGCTTCACACCGTTCACAACGGCATCTTTCGCGTGCACCGACCCTCCCTCAGTTTGCACCAGAGTGCGCATTGGTGCGTTTGTGTTTGTTTTCTTCTGTGTTTCTCCTAAAGAATCCCGGATTTCCACGACGACGTATTTTCGTTTCGCGATTGTAGGACGGGGGAAAAGACAGCAACTGTTTCTCATCGAGTGACGGGAAAGGGAGAAAAGTAGATCAAATTCGCCGTTCATTAGTCCGATTTGCAACGATCGGGTGACCGTCGCGGTGACCGTGGGAAAACTCGAAAATGTTCCCACGCTGCCGCTACGCTGCAAGTGTATGTCGCGTGTGCGTGTGAAATTCCTCACACAGGGAGGATACAGAGCAGAGCGCGGGGCCCGGGGATCGCGGAGAGCGACGGGCAAGAGGATGAGCGCCCAGGGGCAGGAACACGGACACGCGGTGGTCGTCTGGGAGTGGGAGAATCGTCACGGACGTTGGCGGCCTTATAGTCCGGCTGTGTCGCAGCATCTCGAACGGGCCCATTATAAAAAGCTCACGCGGGTGTTTCTCAACGACGCGGATCCCAGCCTCGACAGGTTCGAACGACACGCACGACATGCATTCGATATACGATCTCACTTGTAGTAGTGTAGTTAATTGCACGTGCCTTGCGATAAAAAGTGAGGCAGGTGTATGTTTGGGTTTTGTAGAGAAAAAGAAAAAAGAGAAGAGAGAGGAAGAAGAGAGAAGAAAGAGAGAAAGAGAAGTTGAGAATGGAATGAGCAGATGTATATGGCAAACTGTATAATTTTACTATTAGTGATAATTGATTATTTATCGAAAATTCATCAATTTATTGAATTTTTGGGATTATTTTAGACTTCAAATTTTGCTTTTTATTTTATTGAGAAAATAATAAAAATATGATGATTTTTAGTTGATATGTATTATTTTTATTTTATTTTTAAAAATATATTTTTAATATGTTTTATATATATATATATATTTAT